AGGCTCACCGTCCTTGCAATTGAAGTGGGCGGCCGCTGGAGTGCTGAGGCCGCCACCTTCGTCAGACAACTTGCACGGTGCAACGCACGCTCCGCTCCGCCACCCTCGAGAGCTGCTGCCATCTCCGCGTTCACCCTCCGCTGGTCGGCGCTTTTGTCCTTCGCCGCCGCGCGCTCCTTCGCAGCAAGCCTCCTGTCGCTCCCACTCACCGGCACCGCGAATGTCGATGGAGAGCTACCCCCATTGAGTGACATGCTCGCCGACTCAGCCTCACTGCCTCCTCTTGCTAGCCGTCTCGTGTGAGCGGCGTGCCTGCCTGTAGTCTGTGGCCCACCTGCCTTTGGGCCTGCACTGGGACCGCGCTGCTTGTTGGACGGTGAAAAAGAGGTGCGAGAAAAAAACGGAGCCACAACAGCAACGTCGCTGCGTGCCACCACCAGCTAGATCTGGAGGGCCCCACGCAGTCCTAGGACGGGACTATGCCGTGCCTCGGAAGGCCGCAGCCTACTGGGCATCTTGTCCGACACTTTGCCGATCCTGCGCCAGCGCCACCCTATAGTCTTGTGGCGGAGACCCTCCGCCGTGTATACCCCAACCACGGAGGAACTGGCGAGGCAACCAGTGGCCGTTGGACAGACTTGCCGAAGGCGGGCGCCCGCCTCCTGCGTTTGTTGAGCGCACACCTGGAGAGCCCCTGCGAGGATGGCAGCGAGCCGCCGCGGCCTGCTTGGACGCATCCGCCTGCGCGAGCCGTTTCTCTGACCTTGACCCGGCTTCGCGCGCATTGATGTTGTCCCAGGCAGGCCCAGGTGGCTCCCGTGCCCTCACCACCGTGCCCACGGCTCCGGAGTTCCGCCTCTCGAGCTCTTGCTTCCGCGTGTTGCAGCTCAGGAGGTTGCGACAGCCCGTGCCTATCGGACCCCGGCGCTGCCGTTGTGGAGGCGATGTTGATGTTCTTGGTGATCATCGCGCAGCGTGCCCGACTGCCGGAGCTTCAAAGGCAGCGCCACGCGCCTGCCAGCGAGGTCGTCAATGTGCATCGGGGCATCGTTGGCCAAGAGGTCAGCGACCTGAGAGGGTAGTTGCAACGTGGGGCGGCACACATCAACAGGAGCAGCCACGCCGACTGAAGGTCTGGCAGACCGGGGATTCTGTCCAGCAAACGACCGTGGTTGAGCGCTTTGTTCCTGAGGGCTTCCTCTTTAAAAGCTTCGCTCCCAAAAGGAGTGCCGAGAACGAGGAAGCCCTGATGCTCAGGCGGTAAGGAGTTGTCACCGACCCATACGGGCGCCTCCCCCGGAGCAACGGGAAGCACGTCAGCAAGGCCAGGCGGTTCCTCGCCTGTCGAGTTCCAAGCACGCGTCTTGCCCAGATGCACGTCGATGTTAACGTGGCACTTGAGCTCCGTGCGCAAGGTGACAAACGCGGCGCATGTGTCTGACGGGGTCGCATGACACATACGTGTCATCCAAGAATGCATACAGATCAGCACGTGGCCCAAGTTTTTTTTTCCCAAGCTCGGCGTGCGCCGCCCGGATGAACGCCCACCGCGAAGAGGCCCGCATCAAGGGGTCACCCTGTTCCCCCCCTTCCGCCTGGGCTACCTCGTGTGCCCGTCCGAGGTGGTCGTAGAAAAGGTACGTGCTGTCACGGCCATGGAATTCACGGACAAACGGTATCAACGAAGCCAAGCGAGCATCCCGGCGGAGGCCTTCATACATAGCCGCCCGGGCGATGTGATCGTAGGCACCAACTCCGTCAACACTGACAACCGTCTTACTCGGATTCAGTTCGCAAGACACCGCGAGGGCGCGTGCGAGCGCCTCAGTCCCAGCGCACGTGGAGAGCGCGTACTGGAACGGGCTACACACTTCCATGAAGGCGTCCGATGCTTGTTGAGCCAGGGTCCGGGACACTAGGCGACGGAAGACATCTCCTATTACGAGAGCACGTATGCCTCCGTTGGGCTTCTGCAACGCAACCAGCCGCCCAAGACGGAGGCCGTCGACGACCTGTGCCGGCACCCCGCCCGCGGCCAAGAGTTGGGCGGCGTGGAGGAGCAAATCGGTGCAACTTTCGTCATCAAGCAACGTGCGCAGATGCGCGGCGGTGCACCCAGATGGCCCGGCGGCAGCTCCCCGCCGGGCCCTGCGTAGGTTGCCGAAGAATTTTTCTGCGTCAATTGCCATATGCCCGTTCTCGGGGGAGAAACTGCCATTCCGGAAGCGGCACCTGGCAAGTTCGGGGTCGTTTGGAGGGGTCGCGCAAGATTGCGAGTGTCTCGTCGGTGGCGGGGCCGAGCAGGGAAGCTTCGAGAGCGGCCCGTGTGGCCGACAGGTCTCCCTGATGCGCGAGCGCGACGGCTCGGTCAGCCCGCCGTTGTGTGTCCGAATCGACGGAGGCTGCAGGCAGCGCTGGAAAGGGCGGCTGCGCGCGTTTGCCGCGAAGCAGGAGCACGTGTGGCCTCCAATGTCCTCCTACGGGACATGAATGTTGACGTGCCCTTGACCGACGGCCGCCGCATCGAAGTCCTGGCGAATGGTCTGTCCATCTGGCAGGGTGCACAGGCGGCCGTCGACACCACCCTAGTGTCACCAGTCACGCGGGCGGGCGACGCACAGCCGCATGCCGATCGTGTCCCAGGCACGGTGCTTGAGCAGGCGGCGAAACGCAAACGCCTGCGCACCTACCCGGAGCTGGCAGTCGCCCGCCGCTGTAAGCTGGTTGTGCTTGCCGAGAGGCCGTTGCCAAACTGGCCAAGGCTCGTGCCCGCGAGTCGCCTGCGCGGCTCCGCCCGCGTGCAGCGTGCCTCCCTGCACCGATGGATGGGCATGCCGCCACTGGGCGACCTACTGGCGGATGCCCGTCGTGCCGAGGCAGTGCCCGCAAGTCGTCTCCCCGCCCCGTGAGGCTCGCCCTCTTCGTTCACGGGCGGTGTGGCGTCTCCTGCGCGTTTTCCCTGTAGGACGTAGCCTGCGACCGCCGACTGCGACGGAGGGTGCAAAACAAAAACTTGTTAGTTCTTGATTGCGCATGTTCATGTAAAGATGCAGAAGTGTGTGCTAAGAAGTGCTGGGGGCATGTGTGTGTGTGTGTGTGTGTGTGTGCTTTTGTGTCCGTGCACACCCCTTGTTGCAAGATCGCCAAGCTAGGTCGGTCGCGATATCGCGCCAGCAGACGCAGATCGAAGAATTCCAAAAATGGTGGGCATCTGGACAAGGGGATGCTGCAGTGGCATCGCATCCGCTACTATCTTTGGCAGTATCCTCAAAAGCTGGCACAATATTCTGCACGGAAGCAGTGCCCCAGAATGTGCTGTCTCCAAATGTGGCTGAGGTCGACGGCCCGATTTTGGCAGAGCCTGGACAGCACGGTGATCCGGTTTGCTTTGTCACATGCTCGTTTCAGGATCCGGGAAAGTGCTACAGCAGGACATGGTGAGGCAGCACGGCAATTCGTGCAAAGATGGGTCTGGCACCAACTTGGTATTTCATACTTAACGCAGCATGATGATTTTTCGGCCCAGCAAGCATGGACGAATCGTTGCAAGCATCCGCAGAATGATTCAACGATGTGTCCTCGGTTTGGTCGAGCGGCCACCGGCCTGAACAACAATGCCCGATAATGTGCTGTGTTTTGATGCTGCATCCATGAACGCGGGAGCAGGCAGGCACCTGATTAAGAAACCCTCGATGAAGATTTGGCTTGCTTTTATAGAACCCGGGATGTCCGAGGTGTCTACAATATTGTGGACAGGCATGAAATCTGAAAGAGCTGAGGCTGTCATATCCTCCGGATCGGCATATCACAACTGCTTAGGCGCCGACCCTGGGCTCATGCTAACAGCTAGCAGCGTCTTGATTCGCTTTGCGTGCTGTGTGAGGCATTGAGCAGCTGGACAAGTTGTTGAACCAGGTTGACGGCTCGACACGAGATGTGGGAGCTTTGGAGTCTTTGAAGAAGGCACTTCGCAGCAAGGGTGGAGCACGGAACCAGGCGCGAGCAGCCTCTTTCCGGCAATTACCTTGTGCGCTTGGTTTGGAGTTGCGGTGGTTCTTCTGTTTGAGTAGATTGGGTCAAGCCCTTACGACATGTCTGCCACTGGAACCCAGGTGGGCAGTTTACTCTTTAGCACTGCGATGAACATGTTTGACGACATATTGGGAAACCATGTTGGCGCCCGAGGGATTTCGAGAGTGCTCGAGGAAGGTCGCGATTCCAGCCTGGACCAAGCCAGCGTCGATTGGGTCTTGGACGAGGTGTTCGACCCTCCGAAGCAGTTCATCAGCTCACAATCCTTCCCCCCTGAAGCCACGGCAGCTATACGAAGCGGACCTAGACCGGACAGCGAGCTGCTCGGGTCAATTGCCTGTGGTGCCGTTGTCTTGGCCACCGGCACTTGTGGGAATTACATCCAGTGCAATGTCGCCGAGACATTGGGGAGAGGCAGGACGGGGTTGGGTTTCGTTCTTCGGCAACTTGATGGGCTTCCCCTCTTCTCACCTGCTCCACCGACTCAACAGACGTTGGACGAATCTTTTGATCCGGTGAAGATTTTCGTTTGCGCACCGTCCTTTCCGAAGACCTCGTCGGCTGCAGTGCGGGCCGCGCCGACACCAGACAGCGAGTTAGTCACTACGCTGCCGTTCGGGTCGGAAGTGCAGGCCACAGCCAGGGCTGGATCATACCTGCAAATCCGGCTGGCAGATTCTGCTGCAGCCGAGGGCGGGTCACGCTTGGCGTGGGTGCCACGTCTGCTTGGCGATCTCGTGCTGTTCGTGGAACAAGAAAAGGTGAAGCCAACAGATGCTGAACGAAGTCCTGCAAGCTTGTCCACCGAAGCAGCAATCTGCGAGCAGACCACCCAGATCAGTCGATTTCAACAGTGGTGGGCAGATGGTCATGGGGATGCAGCAGCTGCAGCCCATTCCATATTGTCGCTGGTTGACCGGTCGGTGCTGCAGGACGTGGTGTCGGCTGGTGCGAACTATCACAGTTGTCTCAGCGCAGACCGGCTAGATGGTTTGCAAAGGATGGTGGACAAGTCCCGGAGACCTGGCTTGGAAGCTTTACGGCGGGCTTTGCTGACCAAGGGCGGAGCCAAAAGTCAGGCCCGCGCAGTGGGCACCGTCCTTTTCAAGGAAGCCCTTACCATTTTCAACAGTCCGAAGCACGACGCGGGGAATCAGCCGACGGAAGGCATGGGAGATCTGCCCGGCGCTGAAGTGGACAAGACTCCCATTGATGACAATCATCGTGAAATCATGTTAGACGAGATCTACAATCCTCCCAAGCGGTTTGTGTGTTCGGACGCCTTTCCGAAGGATGCCACCGTGGCAGTGCGAGCTGTCCCTGACATGGAAGGAGAGCTTTTGACAAGTTTGCCGAGTGGCGCAGAACTTTTGGCAACTGGATCCCGCAATTCCTATCTACAGTTCAGATTGGAAGACGCCGCAGCACAGAGCGGGTTGCGCTTGGCGTGGGTGCCACGTCTGCTTGGCGATCTCGTGCTGTTCGTGGAACAAGAAGAGGTGAAGCCAACAGATGCTGAACGAAGTCCTGCAAGCTTGTCCACCGAAGCAGCAATCTGCGAGCAGACCACCCAGATCAGTCGATTTCAACAGTGGTGGGCAGATGGTCATGGGGATGCAGCAGCTGCAGCCCATTCCATATTGTCGCTGGTTGACCGGTCGGTGCTGCAGGACGTGGTGTCGGCTGGTGCAAACTATCACAGTTGTCTCAGCGCAGACCGGCTAGATGGTTTGCAAAGGATGGTGGACAAGTCCCGGAGACCTGGCTTGGAAGCTTTACGGCGGGCTTTGCTGACCAAGGGCGGAGCCAAAAGCCAGGCCCGCGCAGTGGGCACCGTCCTTTTCAAGGAAGCCCTTACCATTTTCAACAGTCCGAAGCACGACGCGGGGAATCAGCCGACGGAAGGCATGGGAGATCTGCCCGGCGCTGAAGTGGACAAGACTGCCATTGATGACCATCATCGTGAAATCATGTTAGACGAGATCTACAATCCTCCCAAGCGGTTTGTGTGTTCGGACGCCTTTCCGAAGGATGCCACCGTGGCAGTGCGAGCTGCACCGACACAACAAAGCGAGTTTTTGACCTGCCTGCCCTTCGGAGCGGACCCTTGGTGACAACTATGCGCATGTTTGAGCGCCTTGCCCCCACGTCCTCAAGTCCTTCCCGAGATCGCAGCCCTGGTCACCATCCGGCCCTTTCTGAAAGGCTTATGTGACCCTGCTTGTGTCAGGTAGTTACATCTTGATATTTTGATCGTACTTTCGTGGCAATAATGAGGGTCATGCCAGTTGCATACAACACTATCCGTCTCAATTTGATTCTCGAGAGAAGCATGCTGGGGCCACTAATGTCGTGACACAGCAAAGTGGCTACACAAGACCGAGAACACACCTGCGACGATATGCCACCCTTGTGCACGTGGTATCACCGGCAACTACCAGTAGCACTCCCACCTCCGCTACTGGCACCCCCCCCCGCCACCACCGTGACGAAGGCCCTGGCAGCTTCGAGTATCGAAGCTCATTTTTGCTTAGGCACTCCCAAAGCCCTGTGCTTGTTCAGGTTTGTCGCGCGCGCGCACAGTCCGGAGCCACGTAACAATGTTGAGGTGGTTTTGAACAGTTCGAGGTCAAGGGTTGAGAGGTAGGGTTATGAGAATCTTTGGTGGAGAGGCTGGGGAGCTAAAAAAGATTAATTCTTCGTTTTTCCATCATTTTTGTCATCATCTAACTCTTCGTTTGTTCATCATTCCCCTCATCATTCTCCAAACCGTCTTCATTTTTTCTTCATTTTCTCGTTGTGTTTATGGATTTTGCTTGGGATTCCTA